TTCCGAAGGGCTACATCCTTACAGATCCCGTCGATAGCTTGAGGCGTTCAGAGAGTCTGAGGAGTTCAAGTTTCACGGCCGGGTGCCTGTGCTGCCCTGGTACGCCGCGCTGTACCATGCAGTCCGTGGGCTTTGCAGACCCAGATTTCCAGGCAGCTCCGAGTGCCGGCGCGCCGCCGTGCTGAGCATCACAGTGCTTCATTCCCCAGTTCCAGTTTTCTTGATAGTTAAACAATTTAAGTATGTCCTTAAGCTGTCTTGGTTTTGAAGTACGTACCGTGTCCTAGATGCTGACTGTCTACTTTATGTAACGTTTCCAGTTTGGAAAATTTAGGGATGTGTTTTCAGACCTCTGCTCAGTGAACTGGATGAGTAATTCTCCAGCGCTTGTCTACATTTTTCAGTGGGTTTTTTTTTTTTAATATTATTATCCTGCTTTGGTCTCGTACAGTGATCCCATCAGATCTCACAGGCGACACAGGGCTGGGTTTGGTGAGTGCTTGATGGCAGGACCACCAAGAGCTGTGCTTGCACACAGATCTGCTGCAGGAAATGGGTTTGCTGGTGCAGCTGGTGACGCTTTCCTTACTCACACAATATGTAAAATGGAGGTCTTGCTCAGTGGTGGTAACTATAAATCTACTGGCCTTTCACATAAGGGGCAATTTTAGCAGCTTGTTCAGGTAGTTTTTCTAAAATTCCCTTTACATTTAAAATGGGAGATGGTTTCCACAGGACATGCCTCTCCACCCACCCCCATGTTGAGGGTCTACACGCAGTTCGGTGTTGCTCTGCACTGTTAAGGAGTAGCAATATTCTGCCCAAGAATAAAGCCTATTTGGGCTTTATTTTAAAGCAAAGTCGTCCATGCAGGTGCATAAATATTACAAAGATATAAAAATAGCAGGTACTGCTCCAGTTACTTTAGTTTCTAGTTGCTCTCTAGATCTAATTATTTTTAAAGTGTATCCTAAAATATTTATGAACTTTAAGAAAAACCTGAGAGGAAGAGGAAGGAAATTGAGCTCACTAAATGCAGAGGAAATATTTAGCTTGCTTTGTTTTAATGATATTAACTTTGGAGATTTAAAAAAAAATATCTAGGACAAGTTCTGCTGGCCCTAAGATCTGCCTCTCGTGTCATTCTTTGTGAATTATTAAATGATTGTTCTTGTGCATATTGCAAATGGGGGCCTTGTTTCCTGCCAGCTGATTGCATCTGCCCTCAAGAGAGCCATGCCTTTAAGCTGCAAATTGCATTTTCCCCATCCTACCTTAAAGAGCCAAAATAACAAAATGCATCTTTAATTATTAAGAGAATGTTATTCATTACCTCACCATTTTTACTACGACACTGAATTATCACGCAGCTCTTTGCTTTTGCAGTATGCTAGAAATGTTAATTTTTTTATTCCAGTTCCTTTTTCAGTTTCACTAGAAAAAGTGAGGATTATTTCAGTGTTGGCTGGCAAGAGAATCTGAAACAGACAACTGATTATCCTGAAGTTGTCTGACCTCAGCAGCAGCCTTGAGGTCCAGAGTAATTTAACCTGATCATAGCTGGACTAAAATCAGGCAGCAGTGATTGAGATCAGATGCCTATTGTATTCTGCAATATTTTAAAGATCAACTTTTCTCTAAGACGCCTTCAAAACTCAATCTTCACGCTACAAATTGCAAATACTCTGACTTGCCCTTTGTAGTATTTTGGCAGTATTTTATCTTCCACTGATATTGATAAGGACTGTCCCAGCTAAAAGCTGTGACTGGCAGTCACGCAGCCCTAGTGCTGCAGGGGAGGCTTCGAGCTCTGTGGGAGCAGCAGAAAAGAGCAGCATTGCTTGCTGGTGAGGCACCGGCTGTGTTTCTACTGCTGTTGCAGGGCTTGGAATTGAAAACACAGTTTATTGAAGACCCGAGGAATGCCAAATGGTCTAGTGCATTTTTCACAAGAAAAAGATTCCATGACAATTGCTGTATCAATAGCCACCAGTGTGCCACTCATCCTTCCTTTAGCCAGCTTTGCTAGCAGCTCTGGTTGTTTTCCCTGAAAGAAGCATGCTTTTTAAAGCTAAAAATATATCTCTTTATACTCAGTTGCTTTGCTATGGTGGTAGCGTTGTTCATAATGATAAAGACATTTGTTGTCTTCTTTCTTATAGGATACAACAGACTACGTTGCCTATGTAGCAAAAGATCCTGTTAATCAGAGAGGTATGGAAACAATTCTCAGATTGTTATACGTGTTTATATGATTGCTTTATCTGTACCAAGGAATTGTTTGAGTTTAGCTGTTCAGTAGCTTTCTTATATTAAATATTCCATACAATTCCTGACCTCCCTGTATGGATATGGGTGATGGTATGCAGGCTGTGGCTTTAAACATCATATTCTTTGTGCGACGAAGTGAGAATCTGCAGATCAGGCTAGAGCTGTACTAGCTGCTGGCTCCAGGCAGGGGTAGGAGCCTTCCCAAGCTGGCCTGGGGAGGAAGGGCAGAGCCTGGCAAGGGGGGCAGCTGCCCGGCTCTGGGACAACTTCCAGGGGAAAGGCAGTGAATAAGCCTCCTCATCTAACCCAGACTCCCGGGAATGTTGCTGGAAAGCAGAGAGGGGTATATACTCGTACACTCGCAGGTGTGTGGGACCTTCTCCCCTCTGGAGGTTAACCCAGGGGATAAGATCCCTTTCCATCACTTACTATCTGCCTGCAGTACAAGAAAGACTGGCCTTTGGCTGCTGCTTTCATGTCAGACTGCTCTCAGAGCAACGCTGCTGATGGCTATGAAGTTGCTGTAGTGGCAGCTCACGAAGAGAGCTCACTCTAAGGTGTGGTGGATGGCTCAGAAAATCGGGATGTTCTCTGGAGAAGCTGGGATGCAGCAGTTACAGCCTGTCCTGCCACCTCTCTGTGGCTCTATCACCGCTGTTTTGACTAACTTGGGGCATCTTGTGAGCTCACCAGTAAGTCCTGGTACTGATGCTGGGATGTGCAGAACTCCCGTACCCCGGCAGCCCGCAGGCAGGGCTGGCAGCTGGCCCCGCACCATGAGTGCTCCCTGATGGTGGCTCGCGGAGGGCAGAGCCAGCCCTGGGCACAGGGCACTCGCTGCTGGAGGAACTTCCCTGAGGTTGTGTGTGAGAACAAGGACTGGTGGCAGGAGCATGGTCTTGCCCTGAGGAAGCCCTGCCCCAGGCTGCCGGAGCCACTCATACTTGTGCTTTCATGCCGTTCCACATGAAAACCGCGCAATGGCGGGGCTGGTTTTCTCCCCTGCTTCTGCTTACTGCCAGGCAGCGGGGGGAAAGGGGATACAGGAACAGTCCATGCTGGAAACATAAATGGAGAGTTTCTTTTATTGAGGTATAAGTTGATAGTATTATTTAAAAATACCTAGAGCAATTTCCTTAACACATCAAAAATCTCAGTCTGTGTAATGTCCTAAAGCTATCTAGACGCATAATTTCATGCCCAGCTTTTCTGCTGTAAGCAATATAACTTGTGTCTCTCTCTTCTGTATAAAGTGCATTTACTTTAATTAAAGTAAGGTGTCTCTTTGCAGCATGCCACATACTGGAATGTCCCAATGGGATGGCACAGGAGGTGATAAACACCATAGGGCAGGCTTTTGAGCTCCGGTTCAAACAGTACCTGAGGAACCCATCTAGCCTCGTTACGTCTAATGAAAGGTCAGCACATTCTCAGTCGCTTGAATGGTGGTTTCCTTCTCTTTAGTAATTTTCAGGAAAAAATATACTCCAAAGAGTGATCCGTAAGTAAGATGTTTTGGATATGCTTTCTGGACATATGCTAATTGTAATATATGCTGCATGTACAAAGTATAATAGACTAGTAAACTCCATTGATTTCCATGACATTTGTGCAGGTGTGTAACACAGATTTTAGCTGTATTGTTCCTTAGCTAAAACAGCCTTAAGTCATGCAAGTTGAACAAATGTGCAAATTACTCTGCCCAAGTAAGTTCAGCTCTATAAATACTGCGCACTCACACACGCTGAGCTCAGGTCTGACCCATGCCAAGTTTCAGCTTGCTGCCGCTGTGGAAAATGTGTGGTGGGGCAAAAAAGCCATTGTAATTCACCTTTCTGCTGTTCCGCTCATGTCCTGGTAGTGGCCTCAGATTCCACCTGGTAATGACTTTTTTTCAGTACATGAGGCTGATGTAACACAGCCACTGCTTGACATTTTAAAGTATGAAGCCCTGTCCTCTGCACGTTGCTGAACATATAGGGCCTAGATTAATTTCTGGACCGCAATCCCCCACTTCAATTACGCTTTTTCCATTGCACTGAGGACACTATTCTCGCTCTAATGTATGTCCCTCCTCACAGGTTAACCTTGCCTATTTTTCTCAGTCTTTTCTTTCCTGTGACGCCGAATTTGGTTGCTTTCTACCTCCCACGAGTACGTAAAGCCATAGCATCGCTTAACTGCGTCCTGAGCACCGGCAGCCGCTGTGCAGGCAGTGTTACTGGGACAGTGCCTGATGCGATGCAACAGAACTGGTTTTATTACATAACAGCAGTTTATATTTATTTCATTGTACATAGTGGTTCTTGCCGTTCCACTGCTAAAATTGGTCTGTTTTCCCTGGGGACAATAACCAGAGGAAGAGCCTTTCCTATGAAACTCTGCTAGGTTATGACACAAGTAAATCAGGGCAAGGAGAAATGGAAGAGGCTAATTAGATTCCCTCCTTGAGCCTAACCCACAGCCAGCCTCGGAGAACAGTCCTCGGGCAGAGAAATCGGATATTGCTGCGTGAATGAGTCAGTCACTTCCAAACCACTATGAATCACATAATCAAGTACTTGCACTGCCTATCACATAATCAACTACTTGAACTTTATCTTTTTCCTGCTGGAGGCTTTTTATCCAATTATATTCTTGTTAAACAGAAAAGTAAGATTTGAGATGAGCTTTTTATTTCGGGACCGGAGACAGTGCAGGAAGCACCTAGCCGTTTTGCAGTGTATCAGCTGTACATTTAAACTATCATTATTCTGGTTTAGCTCAAGGGAAACATTGGGTGCTCTCCTTCCTGTCATTCACTGGTTTTTTTCTGAAAAAAGCTGAAACAGAACAGTTTTTGATTGTGGTTTTTGATTGATTATGGTTATTAAAATCAGAGCACATTCCACTCAGGAAAAGTACTGTGGTTTTTTTTTTTAAGCAATATTTGATTTTCTAAAACAGTTGCAGGCTTGTCTAACTAAATGCCATGAGGTTTTAATTTTCTCTTGTAAGTGTTTTGCCCCCAGCCCCCCAGCAACCTCTAGGTTTATACAGTTGAGACAAGAAGACAGAGGAATTGGTTTTATGGTCTACCTTTTGGACACCTTAGTGAACAATGCATTGGCACTCTTCTCTTAAACTTTCAGTAGGTGGCTCTTATATTTTCAAGTCAAAGAAAAGGGATCTGGGCTGCCTGGTGCTAAGAAAATTACTGTACCTCCCTGCATCCCAAACTGTGATGGGTCCATTTTTAATTCAAGAAAAAGTAACTGGAAGGATAAACAGCCCTGAAAGTTCAGGCCCAAAGCCCTTTACAGCCTCCATATGGCTAATTTGTGTAGTGTGCGATGCGCAAACACGGGACGTTTTCCTACACTAGAAAGCGGTTGATTACATCAGTTGCTTTTTTTTTCTTCATATTTTTTCAGTGAGGCAGCAAATGCTAATGCGTCAGCTGGGAATTCACAGGAGAAGGAGGATCATGAATATTACAATGAAATTCCAGCGAAAGAGCCTCCCACTGGTGGAGTGTTAGACATGCGAATGAAAATGCAAACAGACCAAAGGGCTAACTGTCTTATACAATCCAAAAAACAGTATTGCTTGGTAAGTACATAATTTTCTGGGATAACTATTTGCTGCCTATTATGGGACTGAATAATGAAGTGTTACTGTGGTGTAAAGCATGGCATTAACATCAGAACCGGGTCCTGATTATCTTGGGAAAGGGTTTTTTAGGCTAGATTTAATGACGCTTAGTACATAATTGAATCCCAAAGCACTTTCTGAATATTAACTGGTTTGTCCTCAGAGTACTTTTAGGAGACCAAGTAATATCCCCTTGTTCACTCATTAGCTGTGAGAAGAAAATGGATACAGATTTAAATGGCTTGTCTGAGAGAACATCTGCAAAATCTGGGACCTCCTGGCTCCTGATTCTGTGATCTGATAAATATTTCATCCTGTCCATTATGCTCTACAACCTACACATACCACATTAATTGATTGCAATGTATGTACATTAATTACCCTTGGAGTGTTTCAAGAGGCTCTGTTAAATCAGCCACAGCAGCAAAAGGTGCATCTATCTGTGGCTCTTGTCTGGGATGGTGGGGAATAAAAAAACAATCAGTCAGGGAGTAAAACCAGCCGAGTTCAGACTGGCTGCACAGACTTCAAAGCCTGCTGTGGAAGTTCTTGGAAACACTGCCATTTCCCCACCCTGGGAAGCAGGCACCACCAGTTTCCCCAGAGGGAGCGCACTCAGACGTGCTCACTGGAATCCAGTTGGTGCTGTCTAAAAAGTTGCTGCTCCCAAGTGTTACTTGTGTCTGGTGGCAACTGCTCCCAGGTTCCTGTGCTACTGCTCTGTCCATTTTTTGCTTTATTAAACTCAACTGTACTCCACATCTCGGCTGTGGGCCTGAAGGTCTCTCTCTCCCCAACAGTTATCTAAAAATGTGTTTGACTATATCGTGAGTTTGCATTTGAAACTCGCCAGAGGTGTTGCAAGGAGTTACCCTACATGCAAATGCCTTTTTTCCATGGGGTGTTACTTCTTGTTTTTCCTTTCAGTTCTGATGACCTTCTAGTGCTACTCACACAGCTTGGTGACCATTTCACTTTCAAACCATGATGTCTATAGTTATTTCTCCTTGTTTTTATTGAAAGGAACATTTATAAGAAAATCTGAACTGTATTGCCTAGGAGTTATACTGTATATATTAAACCTTAGATACATAACTGGGCAGTTAGCGGTCTCTGTGGGGTTGGAGTATGTCCAGACATGACGCCCTGTAGAAAGAAGAGTACCAGCATGGAATATTATTTGAGGAAATAGGAATTTTTTGGTGAAGAAGATACGTTTAGTTACCTGTATCCCAACTCACTGGTGCATGGATGTTTTAAAGTTACCTGAGGTTTCTAAGGGACTACTTTACATGACTGTTTTTATAATTTTTCTACAGACAGGCAGCCCGACATTCATCAATATATATGAAAATTGTCCAGAAGAAAACAAAACCATGGGTATGTACTCTGTTTTTCTTCTCATGCATATGCAGAATTACCCAAGGCAGACTGCCTGGAAGAGCTACCCCTTGGCTTTCAATACAATGGTGAATAGGGTGAAACTGGGTCATTCCTAGTTCCCTAGATGAAGGGCAGAAAAAAAGCCTTACAGCTTTTCTAAAGACTGCTAATCTATCTTCATGTCTGCTGGCAGACTTACTCATTTTACTTGTCATGATACTGTACAGTAGCTCTTTGTTTTTTTCATTCTCTTTCATACTCTTTGTTGTTTTATTCCTTTTCATACCCTTTGAAAAATGAAGATACTTCGTTGCTTATCAGTCTCTGAAAATACCCCTTAGCCCTACAAGTGCTTGATGACACCCAAACCATCAGCATCGGGTGGTTGTTCCAGCACAGCCTGTGCCCTTCGTTCCAGTGTCACTGGCTTAGTGTGGCTGTGCCTTCCCCTGCCTTGGGTGGCTTTGTGCCCGAGATCAATTTGCCTTTAGCAAAACCTGCTCTCTGGGACCCCGGGAGATCAGCAGCCTCCATCTCTTTCTGGACTTCCTTTGCCACAGCTGATGCCCTGAGCACGTTTCCTCAGCTCATCTCTTTCATGGCACAAAAAGGTCCTTTTTGAATTCCCACCTGCACTGCTCTAAAGTGATGCATTACACTGTCTGCAGGGAATAGTTCAGTTTCTTGTGTTATTTCTGATTTAAGGAAACGAGAATCAAATGGTTTCTACAAAGAGTGGGTGAACAAATAAAAGAATGAATGAATAGGTCTATGAATAAAATGTTTGCTAAAGAGCAAAAATATGCGTGCTGTTTGGCTAGCTGAAGTGCTATTATTTTCATACCCTGCAGGGGATATTCTGTTAGCCTGTTCCTAGGCTTGGATCCTAACCTGACAGATGTGGCTTTGGATCTCCAGGCCAACCTCCTCTATCTTCCCTGCTCCACCAGAATAGCAAGATAGAGAATTGTTCAGCTTCCCACGAGCCTTTTTTGTGGTGCAGAGGGGAAGGAAAGGGTTTTGCAACAAACAACATATATGGCTTGTGTCTCTGTAGAGTCATATGTTTTAATTTCTTTTCAGTCAGTTGAGGATTTGCTGCTGGCATTGATTGAAGCAGAATTGAACCAGTGAGGAACATTTTTGAAAACTTTCATTCTAACTCCTTTCGGATAGTGTACCTAGACATAAGGGAAAATGAGTTCATCTGCCAATTTTTCTTTTCCTTCTGAATTACTTTAGTGGGATATATAAGAACAACAATGTTCCTATTTCAGCTTTTACGGTTATTTTACCTTGAGTTTAAAAAAAAAAAAAAGGAAATCTGAGCGTACTATATACTAATTGCAGGTAACTGTGGTGAAAGATCACAGAAGACAAAAAAAGAGGCAACACTATTGAAGGCTGCCTACAAAACAGATCTTTTTGATGATCCGTGTTACATCAACACACAGACGCTGCAGTCTGCAGTCTGTACAGCCCGCGGTACAGCAACAACACAGATCCATGGGAGCCCGCTGCGTCAGGCCAGTAGGTTCCCATTGCAATACCGTATCTTTCTAAGCTTTGAAAAGAGGGGGTCTTGTCATCTGTGTGCATGGAGAAAGATTTTGGTTTCCCCGCAAGAAACATAGAAAAGATGGGGAGAAGAAATCCTTCCTGGTTGTGTTTTGTTTTGTAGTTAAATTCAAGACAACGGGGATTAAAGAGTAAAAGTAGTGATGGTAAGCAAGCAGAGTAACCTTTCATCTTCTGTAGTTGATTGATGACAATAAATAGTGTTCCACACTATTTATTAAATACTTACTATAAGCAAGTCTTTAAAATGATATAAAAGCTTGGGAATGCACCATACCTCAAGGAAGAGGGTTCTCCTGTATGCTCATGATCTAACCACTCCAAGGTGGAAGTGGCTTCAGATGCCTTTGCTTCACAGGCAGTAGCAGGCAAGGTCAAAGTGGGATTGTTATGACCATCTTTTCTCAATTCTTGCATAAGTGACTATTGAATCTCATCCAGTAATTTCTAAATCAAACTGATCAGTACTATCTATTAAATGTATGTCGAATTAAGTCTTGACTTAATTACTCAAAGTGGTGCATATCCATTAGATGACTATATAGTTGCTACTGATTGTCCTCATTATTGAAAATACTTTATTTATTGGCTTTGCCTTTTATGACTTCCCACCAAGTGTTTTCTCTATCAGAGTTGGCTCCACACAAGAAAGTGGGCAAAGGACTGGAGAGAACCGCAGTAAAAGAAATTAGTGACCATTGAGATGTTTCCAACCCGGGGCTGTATTATGCACTAAAAGGAACTGGCTATATCCTGAGGAGCCTTAGGTTGCACAATTCCATTGAAGAAGTGGTATCCTCTTATTTTCCTTAGAAAAATCCTGCCTGTGAATCATTTGCAGTCTGACTGGCTATATCCCAAACCACCCAGTTTTGTTAGTACATTCAGTAATTGTTCATTTTTTTCACAGCAGATGCATCATGCTGTAGTCCTTCCCTTCTGGCTACGTTGGCCATGTTGTCTTACATTCCTGCACATAGCTGGATCCACTCAACATAACTCCCCCAATGATCCGTGACAATCTCTTCAGAGCTTGTTAAAGAAGAAGGAAAAACTAGATCTTAAAAAAGTGGCTAAAAAAGAACAAAAATCTTGTTTTTACAGGGAAGGTTTGACTTTTTAATACAATCAAAGAAATACAAACCCAAAACAGTAGAGCATCTGAAAAATTCCCATTTCCAATCCCTGTTGCCTAGTAACTCAAGGCTTTCCCATCTAAGGTATGGGAGGAGATTGTGTGATAATTTTACCTAATGCACTGAAAGGTTGTGAGCATTCATGTGTGCATGTTATTACAGTCTGTAAGGTTGGTTTGATCACAGCTTCAAGACTGAACCATTTGAATTTTTTAAAAGCTATAAAAAATACCGTCTCGCATCTTTCTAGGATGAAGTTCTAGGTGAAGTGTCCAATACATTCCCTTTCATTTAATTTTAGAGTTACCAGAAGCTGTTCAGCAGAGTGCCACAAGCAACACAGCTGGTCTTTGTGTTCTGCCACAAATAAAGCAACAGCTAAAGAATGAAGACTGTTACCATGGCAAATTAAACAGGAAAGCAGCAGAGAGCCTCTTAGTCAATGATGGGGATTTTCTGGTGCGAGAGAGCACAACGTCACCTGGTCAGTACGTCCTCAGTGGACTTCAGGGAGGGCAAGCAAAGCATCTGCTCTTGGTGGATCCTGAGGGCAAGGTATGAGCTTTTCATACACTGAAATTTCATGGCTGCTCACGTATTTCAGTTGAAATGCATTCCAGGAAGTGGAACCGATCTGATTCCATCCAGGTTAATTTAAATTTTGCCAGTGACTTCAGTAGGTCTGAAAGTTCAATTCAAGAACCTATAAGAACTGAAGTACCATGGAAATAGAAGTGAGGTACTTAAATATTGTTGTTAGTCTGGGTGGTGATAACTAGTGTATACACATCCTTTGAGTTGTTATTATATTGCTAGAAAAATAACCCTAATGTTGAACAATTAATTTGATTAGTAACACACTTCTGGATACAGAAAAGGTAGAGCTGGTTTGTTGTCACTTCGATTCTGCTTGCTTCTGCTCAAGTCTAGAGGAGTATTCTTGAGTGACATCTCTTAGAGGAGAGAGTAAATCAGAGAAGTAATCATCAGAGGGATTTAGGGAAAAATATATCTTCTGTGGAGGGGAAAAAAAAAGGCTTATTTCATTCCCTGTAGCAGAATCAGCCCAGCTGTACATACAGTCTCTTTAACTTGGTCCTCTGCTTTTCATGTCGGCTAACAGCAAGTCAAAAGATAGGTCTGAATTACTGTCTACAGCCTAATGATCCTGCTCTAGTGAGTTGTGTGGCTTAGATGTCTTTTGACTTGAATGTGCTAGGCTCCTGTCCAACCAGTTATAAGCACAATCTAACTGTAAATATATTCTTCTGCTTCTCAATAGGTGAGAACCAAAGACCATATATTTGATAGCGTGGGTCATCTTATTCAGTATCACATGGAAAATAATTTGCCAATCATCTCTTCTGGAAGTGAAGTGAGCTTGAAGCAGCCTGTAAGGAAAGAAAGTAATGTGGGACACATGCAATATCACAAATAATCCCTTGGATCTCACAAATCCCAAGACAATTCATGTCTGAAACCTGAAAACTCTGTACCGAGAACTTTCTATTATGAAGACAATTCAAAAAAGTATAGACTGCACTTTCTGCTGCTGTTCCAGAAGCTACCCTTTTGTGTGTATATGTATGAATATATGTATATGTGTATATCTATGTAGATCTATAGAGATCAACAAGCATAGTTATATAGATATATATAATCTTAACGAAATTACACCTTCAGAGTGTGAGATTCATTTGTGAGAAGGTATTTTAGACATGCACAAATGTCACTTTTGAGGTCATACTGAATCAGTAACTATTTAAAAGCACAATGAAACCTCTACATGCAAAAGCTCACTTGAACTAACTGCTGGAACATTAGTATGTGCCTTTTAGCATAGAAATATTGGAAACCAATATTATTTATACTGAATTAGTTTTGGGTGGTTAAACAAACATGTCTAAGCTTTTAACTATTTGCCAAAACAAATACAATTTGAATATTACTAAAAAATGTCATCTGCTTTCAATAGACACTAACAATTTCATTTTGCTTGTAACAGCACTTTACTAGCAAATAATGTTTGACATGAATAGCATTCACAATACAGAAAGGTTGTCCAGTTTCTTAATAACTTTTTATCACTGTCTGACTACTCAAAGATTTGAGATTATGCAACATTTACAAAGTTGAAATTAATATATGTAATATAATTTTGGAATAGAACTTGTTAAAGGACAAGCATGCTAGATCCTAATATTTTTGTCTTGCATATGATTTTACTATTATTACCAATTAATACTGGAGACATCTCTTTTTAATGGTAGGCTAAATATATTTTCATTGATTACATAGTTGTTTACAAACTAGAGAAGCTGAACAAAACTAATGATACATTTTGAGAGAAAACTATTTAAAAAGACTGTTTGAACTTTGCATGTGGTCTTATTCAGTGTTCTTTCCAAAACAAGATATGGTTTTCCCTTTCTTCATGTAGAGTCCATTTGTTCCTAAACATGGAAAAAAATCTTTTAAAGGAAACCTATGAATTGTTTTGCCACAATAAATACTCTAAATATGAACAATCCTATATTCAGAGTGAACAACAGTGATTTCTTGGGTTTCCTGTTGAAGAAACAGTGATTTAATGGATGGAAGTGTTCACTGGAAATGTTCAAAAAATGTGTGGATGTGGTGCTTTAGGACATGGCTTAGGGTGCATGGTGGTGTTGGGTTAATGGCTGGACCTGATGATCTCAAAAGTCCCTTCCAACGTTAATGATTCTGTGATTCTTTAATAAGTAACTGCAGAAAGGCGGGGGGGTGGGGGTTGAGGAATGAGCTGGTAGTCCAGGTGATGGCCTGAAAAAGTCATCCCTTTTAAGATAAGCAATGTCTTCTGGCATGAGCAGGGACATTCTCTCTGTCTCCCAGCCCACCAGCTCAGTTCCATAAGGCAGACTATTGTTGTGGAGTTCAGCAGTTGCTGGAAGACTTTACTATACAAAATACGTTCTGTTCTTTTGCCCGTGTTCCTGTTAAATGGGACACTATAGTAAGAGCTCTTTTATGTAGAAAACAAGAGGGGTCATATACACATAAAGTTATTGAAGACATAAGCTCTTTGGAGGGGAAAATATGAGGTAAAGAGCCACACAGAGCTGACTATAATTTTTTTTTCTTATCCTCAGCTAATAGGCATAAAATATATTTCATTCTTGATAATAACATGATTAAAATACTCAATTACATATACTGAAGCAGCGAGAAGCTTTAAAACATTAGCAGTTGATTTCCTTGCTAATAGTCTGGCATTATTGATACCTCAAGCCTTCAGACTAGAAGCTCAAGCTTATGCCTGTTCTATCCTATGCAAGGTTTTCACATGTGAAAAAGGCCTCCAGCAAGAGTTCATGCTCAAGCTTTGTGCCACTGCAAGGGTAGCTGGCAAGAAACTGTAACCAGAATATTAAATCCCTGCATAGTATCCTTTCTATTCTCATGTCTTACCAAACTTCATAACGTGCTTGACATGAGTTTATTGAGCAAACAATCAAGCAAAAATAGCTGCTACTTGTGGCATGTCAAGGGGAGAGAAAGACCTGCATAGGGCGGTTTTGATTATTGCATCAAAGCTGGGTTTTATGACAGGTCATAGAAGGCAAATGAGCAGAACTCCATCTCTATTTTTAGTACAAATCAAAGCTACTCGGGACTAGAATAATAGTGTTTGGAGTTGTAGTAATATGACATCAAATTTGTATGACTTTGCCAGTTAAGATACTGATTTGGGGACTTTCTTCACTTTACCAATGCATAAAAACATCCAAAGCCAGTGTGTGATGTTTGGATCACAGTATGTCACAGTCTAAGTCTCCCTCTTTGAATATCGCTAACTTAAAACAGAAGACCAAAATCTTTGTTTTGTTGCTCCTGCACGTTTTGTATGTGTCTGAAGCAAAACTGTGAAGGAAAAATGGAAGAAAAGGGAGATAATTGGGTGCTAGTGCAATAAACAAGTATCTCAAAATCTCTTGATGTAAGAGAAAGCAAATCCAACTAATTACAGGTAGAATTCAGACACAACACATCCATGCATTACAGAAAACAGGCATTTTCCTAGAACAAATTACATCCAGTCTTCTGGAACTTGGTTTTTAATTTCTAATATTTGTGTGCCTTCACATAGTTATTAATGCTGCCTTTAGCCTCTATGGACCAGCCATCTCATGTAAAGTACACTATCATATCCTGTGTGGAAGTCTTAGAAGAAGTAACTATGCTTGCGTAAAGTTACCTGAATTTTGGAAAGTTTTCCAAAAATACTGCTCTTAAGAAAGTTAATATGAATCATCAGGCACATTTAGACTTTTTTAATATTTCATGCCTGTGAAAATGCTGGGGAGAATTGGTTAATCTATGTTCTAATGGTTACTAGAAACCCCTGGGAAAAACAGCAAATTTTGCCTATAATGTCACATTTACAAGGCATAGCATGTTCATTCTTTTTCAAAGCTCCTAGAAATTTCACTGAAACACATAAACACATGTATCTGCTTGCTTCTATCAATAAAAATGTTATAAAAAATGACCCAAGCGCTTCTCTCCTACCACAGCTTCCATTTTCTGCTGCTAGGGCGGGCAGGCAGCATTATTACTGCTGAGGCCAAGTGTCACCAGATGGAGCTATTACATACCTTCCTCATCTCTGAACAAACGTTCATTGTTTGAAAAACCTTTCTGATTTTTTTTTTTTTGTTTACTACAGGCAACTCTGTGGAAAAAGTTTGTTCACTCAGAGAGACGTTTAATTTTTTACACAGATTAAAGCAAGCCCTTGAAGCACAGCTGCTCCTTGAGCACTGGGCACCCTGAAGTAGGCCGCTCGCGTGTGGCGTGGCCACCTTCCTGTGCTCCCATGGGGCTTCACCAGGCAAAGGCCGAGTCCCCCTGAGGGGTTTCTCATGTGCAGCTCAGCCTGGGGCTTCGGGCATTGTGCGCCATCACCCCTCTGCCAGCATGGGTGCAGTGCGAGGATGAAGGGACAGGCCACATGCAGCTCCCTCAGGGGCGGCTCGTGGGTGAAGAAAAGGGCTGTAACTTGTGACCCCCCAGTGATGGTGCTGCTCTAAAATGACATGCTGCTGCCGTCCTGTCAGCTTTCATCATGACGCTGTCGTAAGGTCCAGCCCCTAGTCACATGACGTCATCCCGTCGGGCTGCGACCTCACGAGGGCAGCTCTCCGACGCCATCACGCGTTGCCAGGTAACCG